GGCGGATGAAGATCTTTAAAAACATATATGATAAAGCTTAAGTCTTGACAAAATATCCTGAAGAGTTATTGGAAATGTATGATGAAATAATTTCTGAGCAACCTGGTATTTGAGAGAATATCATGGAGATGTGATTTGAATTGATCGGCAGTTGAAGCTTTTCAAAATGATACCTGATCAAGCTGAATTCTAAAACATATATATTGTAGAATTTCTGGAGATATATGATCACCAGGAGGTCTTTTGGATGATTTCTGAGCAACATGGCATTTAAGTTTTTTTTAAAGATTTACAGGTGCTCAAAATGGTGAGTTAACAACCTGGAAGGAGTGGAATACCTAGTCCTGGTCCTCACAAGTTCCTACCTCACGCCTCCCCGAGTCATATGATAGCAAAATACTACCAGCTGAAACATGGACACAGCTGGGTGGCGAAGCCTGGGTCGGCAATAGCAATGTGAAGAGGTGCGACGCGAACACTGGCGCGGTAACCATAGTACGGTGATAGAGGAAATGCTTCACCAAACCCGAGCGTCTGTTCACCATGGAGGTGCGGCTCAAAACGGCGTCTGTTCTCCATGTTAGGAGCGGCTGATCACCGTCCTAGTGCTAGCGTGGGATTCTAAACAGAGCTGTGCACGATGGTCCCCCGGCGATACAGGGGGTTGGGGCAGGCTCAACAAGCCACCCTGGAATAAAAAAACATAAAGTTACAAATACTGAAGAAAGAAATACGGATCGAAACAATCGACACAGACCTACGCGACGAAATAAGGACTACGATTGGAAACTCGGAACATGGAACTGCAAATCACTCGGCTTCCCGGGCTGCGATAGGTTAATCTATGACGAACTTCAACCACGCAACTTCGAACTCTTAGCACTGCAGGAACTTTGCTGGACGGGACAAAATGTATGGAAAAGCGGGCATCGAGCGGCTACTTTCTACCAGAGCTGTGGCACCACCAACGAGTTGGGAACTGGCTTTGTAGTGCTGGGTAAGATGCGCCAACGCGTGATTGGTTGGCAGCCTCATCAACGTGCACTGCCCACACGAAGAGAGACCCGACGACGAGAAAGAAGCGTTCTATACGCAGCTGGAGCAGGTGTACGACGGCTGTTCGCAACGGGACGTCAAAATGCGTCATCGGCGACATGGATGCTCAGGTAGGACAGGAGGCAATGTATAGACCGGTAATTGGGCCAAACAGCCAGCATGCCGTATCGAACGACGGCCAACGATGCGTGAACTTTGCAGCCTCTCGGGGTATGGTAGTTCGAAGTACATACCTTTTTCCCCCGCAAGGATATCCACAAAGCCACCTGGAGATCACCTGACCAACACACAGAAAACCAAATCGATCACGTTCTAATCGACGGGAAAATTCTTCTCCGACATTATCAACGTCCGAACGTACCGCAGTGCGAACATATATTTGGACCACTACCTAGTTGCAGTATGCATGCGCTCAAAACTCTCGACGGTGCATATCACCCGTCGAAGTCGAACGCCGCGACTCGGCATTGAGCAACTACGGGACGCCGGAGTTGCCCAGGACTACGCGCAGCAGCTGGAAGTTGCACTACCCACGGAAGAGCAGCTTGGCGCAGCTTCTCTTGAAGATGACTGGAGGGATATCCGTACTATGACGAGCACCTCAACGGTGAAGCAGCAGAAAACGAAGGTGGCACGGCAACAGACCTTGAAGCACGCGCAGAAGATGACAGGCTCCCAGCCCCTGATCTTCAAGAAGTTGAGGAGGAGATCGGTCGACTGAAAACCAACAAAGCAACTGGTGTAGATCATCTACCAAGTGAGCTATTAAAATACGGTGGTGAAGCACTGGCTAGACCGCTGCACTGGGTAATTGCCAAGATTTGGGAGGAGGAGATATTACCGGAGGAGTGGATGGAAGGTGTCGTATGCCCAATCTACAAAAAGGGCGACAAGTTGGATTGCTGCAACTACCGCGCGATCACACTGCTGAGCGCCGCCTACAAGGTACTCTCCCAAATTCTATGCCGCCGTCTGTCACCATATGCAAGAGAGTTCGTGGGGCAATACCAGGCGGGATTCATGGGTGCCCGCGCTACCACGGACCAAATTTTCGCGATTCGGCAGGTTCTGCAGAAATGCCGCGAATACAACGTGCCCACACATCATTTGTTCATCGATTTCAAATCCGCATACGACACAATCGATCGAGATCAGCTATGGCAGATTATGCACGAGTACGGATTTCCGGATAAACTGACGCGATTGGTCAAGGCGACGATGGATCGAGTGATGTGCGTTGCTCGAGTATCGGGAACACTCTCGAGTCCTTTTGAATCTCGAAGGGGGTTACGGCAAAGTGATGAACTTTCGTGTCTGCTATTCAACATCGCGTTAGAAGGTGTGATCAGAAGAGCTGGGATAGACACGTGTGGCACGATCTTTAGGAAGTTCATCCAGCTTCTTGGCTTCGCCGATGACATTGACATCATGGCACGGAACTTTGAGACGATGGCGGAAACGTACATCATACTGAAGGCTGAAGCTAGGCGGATTGAGCTTGCCATCAACGCATCAAAGACAAACTACATGAAAGGAAGAGGTTCTAGGGAAGACAATGTTAGTCTCCCACCCCGAGTTCAGATTAACGGTGACGAAATCGTGGTGGTCGATGAGTTCGTGTATTTGGGCTCACTGGTGACCGCCGAAAATGATACCAGCAGAGAAATTCAAAGACGCATTATGGCAGGGAATCGTGCCTACTTTGGACTCCGGAGGACGCTCCGGTCGAATGAAATTCGCCGCCGCACAAAGTTGACTGTCTACAAGACGCTGATTAGACCAATGGTCCTCTACGGCCACGAGACCTGGACTATGCTCGTGGAGGACCAACGCGCCCTTGGTGTTTTCGAACGGAAGGTGTTGCGTACCATCTACGGTGGAGTGCAGATGGATGACGGAACGTGGGGGAGGCGAATGAACCGCGAATTGCACCAGCTGATGGGAGAACCATCCATCGCCACATTGCAAAAATTGGGCGACTACGGTGGGCTGGGCACGTCGTACCAATGCCGCACGACGACACAGTGAAAATGGTTCTAGAAAGCGACCCAACAGGAACAAGAAGAAGAGGCGCGCAGCGGACAAGGTGGATCGACCAAGTAGAAGGTGACTTGCGGACCCTTCGCAGACTACGAGGCTGGCGAAGTGTGGCCATGGATCGAGTAGAGTGTAGACGATTTCTTCGGACAGCAGAGGACAACAAGGCCTTAGCCTGATTGTTAAGGTAAGTAGGTGCTCAAAGATCTCTGTGAAGTCCTCTGGTTGTTTGTTAAAGATTTCAAGTTTATACGGTACTATTCTGAAGATCTTCATCTGCCCAGCAATCCAAATCTCATCTGTCATATATTCTCTCATAATATCATGTTGATCAGAAATTATTTCAAAAATCTTTAGGTGCTTACAAATCTCTGAAAAAACTCTGGATGAGAAGATCCCCAACAAAGCACGCTTTTGCCACATTGCGTCTCGCTTCCAGTAGCTCCAGCGTTATAAGCAAACAATGGTTTTCATAACTGGGTAGGTTGAATGGATCACTCCACCTGAGATGACGTAGAGCGAACCGGATGAATTTTCGCTGAATAGCCTCAATGCAACGAATGTCATTCTGGTGATAAGGAGAACATATGATGGACGAATACTCCAAAATAGGACTCACAATTGAGCAATATAAAGCTTTTAGGCAGTAGACGTCCTAGTTGCGATTAGGCTTTAGACACAACGTACGCGACGTGATCCTTGAAGGTCGATTTTGTATCAACCAGAAACCCCAAGTCCTTGACTGTTGACTCGCGTTGTAGGTTCACGCCTCCCAAAGCATAGCCAAACTGGAAGAGTGAGTGCTTGCGGCCAAATGAGATAACCGAACATTTAGACACGTTCAGCGACATTCGATTAATATGACACCATTCAGCGAAGGCTTCCAGTTGTTTTTGCAGGAAACGTGTGTCTTGTGGTTGCTTAATCGTATAGTAAAACTTCAGGTCATCGGCATACGAGAGTTTTAGGCATTTTAGGATAAAATTGAGAGAACTGTAGGGTAAGGTAGGGTAATACGTGCCATGGGTTAAATTGGTTTTCACCCAAATCGCTAAACGAGCTGCTGAACTATCATCTAGGAAACCGTTTATATTAATTATCCTTTGAATAGTACGAGAAAAAACGCCGTTGGTCATCCTACTCCACCTTACCCTATAAAGAAAAGAAGAAGACCATAATTTATAGTTCCATTATAGGGTAACAGTGTACACATTTGTATAGTAGAAAATTAGTAAAGGCAATTTTGTTGAAACAAATCGAACGAACATCTATTTTACCAAGCTACCGTCCGATCTCACGATCTTGGGGTAGGTCCGAAGCCTAGCGTGGGTACCCTTCTATCAGGACTGCCAAACAAAAAAGAACAAAGCGCTCAAACATTCAACCGAAACATTTTCCTGTCGAGTCAAATCTGGTTCAGAATTTTTAACGCTCACCATTGTAGGTGCTTCCTATTCGCACCATATTTCTTCAACATGAGGTAGCTCGGCATGACATCATCAATGAATACCGTTTGATTTTATTTTCTCCATTCAGAAACATTTCCTATGCCCTTCTGCCATGTAGTAAGTATCTCAATTGTACAATAGCTTACTTATACAGTTTGGTGGGTGGCAAATGCGAACGATTGCAGCCGAAACCCAACGAACTCATCCGACAGAGGCCAAAACATAAACAAAAGGAAAACAAACAAAAAAGGCTGACTTACTCAACCGCCTCGAACGATGTGTATGCGGCATGAAGAAAAAAAAATGCAACTAGGTCTATTATGACCAGGTGTAATTTGTTCGGCATATTTTACCAGCTGTTGTGAACGTCATTTCCCCATTTTCTTGTGCAATCCTGCATTCATGATTCGAATTAAATTATGATAAAATTGGAGGCATTTTGAGCTGTGTGGTACTTACGGATCTCTGAGCATGGGTGCGATCTTGTGGAAGCACTCCATAAACTGGCCATCCTTGCAGAATAGCTGCGGAACCTGCGGTTGGCTGCTGACGTTCAGAATCCGAAATAGAATACATAGGATCACGGCTATCACCGCTAGGAATGCTGGAGACATGGCTGTATGATTCGCGGTTTCACCAATTACCGAAACCTTGAAATGCAATTGGAATTCACTTGAACGGTTGTTGGATGGGGGGGGGAATGATTTTCCAGCACTTTCTTCACTCTCACAACTTGCCACGCAACGCACACGCCAAACACTCTAGATATTTTTCATTGACACAATACGCCGGGCACCCGCGCTGGTGCCAGAGCACTACCGAAGGACTGACAATCAACTTGGACCGGATGATTTTGGGTCACGGAAACCGAACAGAAATTTTCCGCCTGCTTCAACTGTTGCCTAAACACGCACAGCGTCGATGACAGCAACTTCTTCCTTCCCTCACAGTGCTAAATCTCCGGCGCGTCCCGATGGCGACGATGTCGTCTGTTGATGAATCCAGCTACTATCTCTGCCACAAAACCGTGTATCACATTCGAAACGCACCATTAGACTGACACATACGGACAACCTCCTCCCAAAGGTAGGACACAAGGCGACGAAAACGACGAATCGGTCACCAATATACCTACACTAAACACCTCCAAAGCAGATATGGCAGCAGGTGGAGAGTGAGAGCTCTACTTGGCCGACCCGACGTCTACCACAAAACATCCGTGAAAGTGACAACTGGGGAAATTGTTTTTGGAATGTTTGTTTTGATTTCATCCATCTTCGAACACACATTTTTGTTGTCAATTTTATGTTGTCAATATGACAGTTCGAAAATGGAAAATTCTAAAGGGATAACTATGCCCAGCGGGCGTTTTGGGGAAGTTTTGCTTCGAACCATACAAGCTTATGCTGCTACAGTTATGGCAACAGTAGAGCTTTTATGCTATGCTTTCTAGCGCAAATGGGAAGCTAAAGGCGTACAAGTTCGCAAGCAAGTTTTGATCAGTGAATTGTATGTTGCCTGCATTAAGGGGATATTATGGAAAGCTTGCGGTTCACGTGAACTAAACAAATACGATAGATATGCATGGAAGACCACTAGTGTGTTGCCTAATTTAACATTATTTAATAAACGTAAAATTAGACGAGATCGTGCTTTCCAGGGTAACACGTATATTCGTTATAAGTCACACAGTAGAATTTTAGACTTGACCTTTTTCGATTTGCATGATACTTTGCATAATTGTTTGTTATTCATCATTCACCTTTGCGCAAAAACTCGACCATTTTGGATCTCGGTAAAAAAATGGCGTTTTTTATATTTTTCAACAAACCTTAACCCAGAAAGGTTACTTCCGATCGAAATAACGTCTGAGACAAAGTTGAAGGAAAAAATATTTGTTCCTTTTCAGGAAAAATATACACGTTAAAAAAATTCAAGTAATTTTGGGTATAACATCCAGAAAAGTGTTAAAAACTTATATCCCTCTTTGTACCATTCCACGACAGACAAACAGACGTAACTCTTTGCAAAAGTTTTTCTTGAAAACATAGTATTTCAAAACATAGGACCTCAGTAACGACATTTCTCGGGTTTCTCGCGGAAAACAAGTTTGGTCTCTAACTCGCAAACAATATTGCATAAAAGTTCTATAGAATGTATAGAAACGATAATATTCAAATCAACCGTTAAATTCGGGAACGAAGATACACAATGAAGTGTTACGTCTGTTTGTCTGTGATTCCACCATTCGACCTCTTTAGACCATTTGAGCATTTGTTCATTTAATCTTCTGTATCCCTTATAATTATTCGACCTTTTGTCCTTCTTTGAATCATTCGACTTTTTGTCGCCATTCGACGTTTAGTCTATTCGACTTTTTTTGGACCATTCGACATTTGGCCTCATTGGGCAATTCCACCGAGGGGCACGCACTAGTCTTGCCATTACTGCATTCATTACTTTAAATACAGTCTTAATATCTATAAATATTTTTTTTCAATACATTTAAATTATTTTTCTTAACATAAATTATCATTAATTTTTGTTGATTACTTTCAATAGCGCTAAAAGTATTTAAATTCAAATAATTACTGTCTTCAAAGTATTTAAATTAAAACGATGCATTTTAAATATCACGCACGAATACCTGGAAGTGCGTAGCCCTCGTATTCGACCTATTGTCTATTTGACCTTTTTTCCATATGAACATTTTCCATTCGACCTTTTGTCCTCTTAGGGCCAGTCGACCTACTGTCCATTTGACCTTTTTTCCATTTGTCCTTTTATCCATTCGACCTTTTGTCCATTCGAACTTTTGTCCCTTTTGAACCATTCGACCATTTGTCTATTCGATCTTTTGTACCCTTTCTCACCATTTTGTCGCCCTGCTCATCATTCTACATTTTGTCCGTTCGAACTTTTGTCTTTCGTCGTTTTGTCATTTGACGTTTTGTGATTCGACCTTTTGTCATTCGGTGTTTTCTCTTTAGACCATTTGTTCCGCAACCGATGTAAGGAATGCTCACAAACTCCAAGCGTTCAGTCAAAAAACGTACTACTAATTCAAGACTTCTTTCAAATTAGCTTCAATGTTCCATTTTATTTCATCAATTGGGTTGTTTAACTTCGAAAAATATACAGATTTTTGTACATATCACCTGATGTAGCTTCATTTTCTAAACACGATATTTTTATCGATCCCGTAGACGTGCATCACGATTTTTAAATCAAGATTTAAATTTTTGATCGTTGACACTAAATCTATTTGTTCACAGCTCGCTCCCGAGCTCGCTTCCATACAAAGTCCCAACAAGGGGCACTAAGACGGTGTTTTTTGCTATTGTAATCGTACTTATTTAAAATAGTTCCAGTGTACCAAAATTGGTGAAATTTTGGATTTCGAATTGAAAACATTTATTCCTTTAAAATATAATGAATTTTGTGAAGCAAACCTATAAATCTCTTTCATAGACTATAAACAGAATACTTGACACGGCCATAGGTGTAGCCAGAGGGGGGGGGGTCTCTCAGCAACACAAAGGTTTTCGGGGAAATGGCATTCGGCTAAATTTTCCATGGTTAATTTTTTTTCGCCTCTCCATAGCTCGAAACCTGGCTACGCCCTTGGACACGGCATGACATGTCTGGTATCTCTATATATGCTTCTAAATTCACATCCAAAATCCCTCCTTTTTAGCAAACTCATAACAAAAAACATCAAGGGACAGCCCTATGGGGTTGTACGCAATGGTGACGTAGGACTACGTGGTCTTATATAATAAATCTTATTTGTTAACTGCAGCAGGAGCTTGTGTTTTGTCGAAGACAACAAATCAAGAAGACTAGCAACTCTTCCATTTTCTCATACGAACGCTATGAGGCAGATAAAATTGCGTCATCTGCCGCTCAAAGGTAAATGCTTCGAATGAATTTGATAGCAAAGATTACATCCTCAGACGAAGGGTTTGTGTATTTGATCATTTTTCTATGCGTTGCTCCCACCTTCACTCAAGCGCAGTGCTGCCACAGGTGGCGGTACTACCAACTACGATACTTTTAAATTGACCGTTAAATGCTTGTTCGATGAACAACTTGCGAGTGTTATGTCTGTTTGTCTGTGGCGCTACTGTATCTGTCGCTTGGATTCTGGCAAAGTTGCCAGTCTTCTCGATTTGTTGTCTTCGGTTTTGTATAGTAATAGGAATTTGAGTGGGGTTCTCTCTGTTTATACTCTTTAGTATGACGCGCTTGACATAGATGGTCCACAGCGACTCACGAAGGGCTACTGATGCCGATCAATAGTGGTGCGCCTTCTTCCACCTTATATGGATACTCACCCAGACAACCAGAATGCACGTATATTCAGAATTGTTTTCGTGATATATAAACATATATACAAACAAACAATTCGTATAGAATGCAAATAAATGGCTTATACGTACAAAAGTGGAGGCCATATACGTGAATATTTTAATTTAATTTTAAACGAGTTGATTTAACAGCATATACGATTTAAGGGGGTATTCCCAATCTTTTGCCTTTTTTCGGCCTGTTTTTCAATTATTTTTTTTTCAAGGAAAATGAATAGTAATGCGCCTAACTCTTTGGGATTCTTGTTTATTGAACATTAAAGTTTACAAATAAATTTTTTTCGACATAAAAAAAGACATTATTGACGTCACAAAATGGCGGCAAACAGACCCCTGTTCGCCGCAAACGCCTGGACGGGCGAAGACTTTTCTCTGGAACGGCTTCATCTGAAACAGATTTCGTGATGAAATTATAATCTTCATAAGATTCTCTGGAGCTTCTCCCGTTGGCAGCAAAAAATCTTGCAAATTAACAAAATGGCGGCCATATGAAAAAACAGGCGATTTTTAGCCCGCTTTTTTGCAGCTTTAAGGTGCTTCAAACAATGTTAAATGTTAATATTTTTGGCTGAAAGTGGGAGAAGCTCCAAAGAATTTAATGAGGAACAAAATGCGCAAAGATTCAAGTCAATATCTCTTATAGTTTCTGAGAAAAATCTTCGCCCGATAAAAAAAATGTGGTTTCGAGAAAAACGCGTTTAAAGTTTTGACTTTAGTTGAAACCATTTGGGGGTTCTTACCATTAGTCAGCTATGCCTGGACACCGAATTCGCTGATCGGAAAACGGCTTGGGGGGATAAAAGTATATAGTCTAAAGTACAAAAAAACGTGAAAAAAAAATTTGATTTTTTGAAAAAAAAAGATCGGGAATACCCCCTTAATCTGTAATAACAAATTCAGTTTGAAAAGTCTTACGATGTAATCCGATTTAATTTGTGATACAGTACGACGGAAAAATGAGTCATCGCATATAGGTCGGAAATTTGCATTCTATACGATTTAACTTAAACATAATGCGAGGTATGCCATTCTTATATGCGATTTTGACTTATACTGTAGCAATTTACGATACTGTCTGTACATTGTTATACGACTTCTGGTTGTCTGGGCATGTGGGCTGCAGCTTGCTGCTTACAGGCAGCCTTTCGTTGTGTAATGGAGAACAATTTTCAATTCAACGCCACGCACCGAAAGCACTGCTGCTGCTGCTGATGATGTCGACGACCGGACACCACCACACACGGTGATTGGAACTGACCCCCCTATTCTGCGAGTCACGTGACTCTCTTTCACCGGTGATTTACATGGAGAGTCACCACACACGAGGTGACAATTGTCACCTCACCGGTGACAGAGAGTCACGTGACTCGCAGAATAAGGGGGTGAATCCGATCAGCGGTTGAGGCCAGCCTTGATAGCTAGCTGCTTGCAGGAAGCCTTTCGTTGTATACCGGAGACCACCACCACTCACCACGCGGTGATTGAATAAACACCGTTTGGTGAGACCAGATGGAATTCAACTTTGAAATCTGTGTTAGGGAAATCGCATTTCGCAGGCAATCGGTGATAATATTAATTATCAAAGCAACAGTTGCACGTTCGTGCAATTTTCAATAGTGATATTTTTAAAAATGATAAAGTCTTAAATTGTACAGATGCGTCGGAATATTTAGTTTTAATTCGAAGCAGAAAACAACGGAAAAAGTTATACAAAGTTAGTGCCTTCTCACTTTTAGTGCCTTCGCATTTTTGTCTTCTTCACCGTCTAGAAAAGCACAAATTTGAAGAAAGAATTATTTGATGAGTTCGTGTTGCCAAAAACAGGAAGGCACTGTATTCTACTAAAATGCTCATCAATTATCTTATTTAAATTTTTAAATTTAAGTTCTTGTATGTGTTTGATTTTGGCGATGCGATTATCTGTTTACAATCGTAACTTTTATTTTTGTACGTTGTTTTCTCTCTTTTTGATTTTAGTATTGAAGATTAAATTGTCTCTCTTGAGAGTTGTTCGTATATGCTCTACCATTCTGTTAACGGTAGCAATTTGGCTGAATTTATACACCTGATAAACGAGTATGTAAAAAAACTCAAAAACTTGGTTCGCTTAATGTGGCGTCGAGAAATTGTCCGTTTATACTGTCCCCGCGATCGATGCTTTTTCCTTCTACGATGACAAAATAGCGAAAGCAAGTACATTGCAATAAATGAACGGAGGAACATTCATTAGACTCGGCATCATGAAATCAATATCATGCTCTTCATCCCGTATCCATCGGATGAAAACACAAGCATAGTCTTCTAGAGGCGGTAATCCCAATGGATCACCTTGGACTGTGCACCCTAGTTGAGATAATTTTTCATCAGCTTTAACACTCCGAATACGATGCCTCCGAAAAACGTGTAACGGCAAGTTTGCAATGGCACAACTTAGCCATTTCTTAATGAATTTCAAAAATTGTGGTTCCTTTAGAATTCCTAGGGTTTCTAGATGCTTTTGGTTGCAAAAAACTTGAAAATAGAGTCGTCTACTTTTTTAAAAAGCGAAAAGAGTTGTTACACGTTTTTTTGAAAGGTGTGTTTGTAGGGTTTTGTAAGTGGCGCAAGATCTGTAATTTTGATTAATGGGCACAAATGTTCACAATTAGCCAGAATACATTCATGGTTCCTATATATGGATCCTGGAGACAACGGAACGGTCTTCGAAAAATCCGGAACATCCGTAAAATGGTCAATCCATGATCCTGATCCTAGAGCTCTGCGGTTTTTTAAACATTAGGATCTGTGATATAAGAATGAATTTGGGTCATGGACCCAGATGGCCATGGGACCGTCCTACGGAAGATCCGAAACATCCATAAAAGTAGTAAATCCACGATCCTGATCCTAGAGCTCCGCGTTTTTTTTATAAACATTAGGAACTGTGATGATAGAAAGAATTTGGGCTTGTGACTTAAACATGAACCTGGATGTCCATAGGACCGTCCTCCGGAAGATCCGGAACATCCGTAAAAGTGATCAATCCATGAAACTGATCCTAGAGCAACGCGTTTTTTTTTAACATTAGGATCTGTGATATAAGAATGAATTTGGGTCATGGACCAAGATGGCCATCGGATCGTACAGCGTAAGATCCGGAACATCCGTAAAAGTGGTAAATCCACGGTCCTGATCCTAGAGCTGAAACGGTCAAACGATCGTTTCATATAGAAGCGTTAGAGTTGGTTGCTCCTAGTGCTTAGGCAATAGGTGAATTCGAGTGCTCGAATCAATTTGTTTTGAAATGACGATGATAGTGGGGTGACTGTGTTTTCACCCATGTCAATGATTAATGACAGGGAAAATCTGATGATGAATTTTAGAAATCAAGATAGAACCGGAAACAAAACTTGGAATATTGAAAAGATGAAATGAATAGAAGGGAAGTTTATTGGTTGGTCAGGGAGAGCTATTTGGTCTTTCCCTTTTGGACCGCCGAGTGAAGAAGATCAGTACAGAATTTTAAGAAAATCAGTGCAGTGAACAAAACCTATAATAAAATCAAGTACGGTGCAAACTTAAAGAAAAAAAAAATTAAAATGTTGTAATGTGGTGTAATTATTTTTTACAGAATTTATTAACCTTTTTTTATACATAAAAAGCACACAAAAACGTGAGTCACGAGTGCGAAAATTGTTTATAAAAGTAAGCGAAGTTTATTTGCAAAAGTGAAGATAGTTTCCTAATCAGTTAAATTTTTTATTGAAAGGTTTTTCTAGAAAAACAGGCTAAGGTAGCTAAAAGTGAGTCGGAGTAATTTAAGTGAAAAGATTGAGAATTCAGGTAAAGTAGTGGATAAAAACATGTGTGATGTGTTTCTGAGGAGTTTTTCTTTGTTTCTACAGAAGCCACTGAGCGGTGGCAACAGCGATTTGGGCTTGTGGCAGGAACGTTCGCTAAACATATTGCGAGGTTATTTTGAACGGTATTTCCATCGGTTCACCTCCCAGAGTGAATTTGAGTCCTTGGTTGGTGGTATCAGGCTTGGTTACCCTGAGTGCTCCTATCGCCTCGTGGTTGCGTGCCACTATAGGACATTCGGAGAGCGTTGGTCATCGGATGAAGAACTCGGCCCCACGTGCATCACACGCCTAAAGTGATTGCCTGTTTCGTGGGAAGGTCCACAAGGGGGAAGGCTGCCAACGCCAGCGTAATCCGCCCGACTCACGTCCTGAAAACCGGAGGCCCTCCGTGCGATACCACCCCACAGAAAAACCGCCCACCGACGGTAGTGCACACTGGAACGATCCCAAACGGTGAAGTCCTTACCTAGCGAGTTTCGCCCGGTAACGCCATTCGTTGACATCCGCCCCACCCGGTGCACGCTATTGGTCGCCACTCTGGCGACGCTTCCTTTTTGAGGTTAGGACACGGCGTTGTCTGACCCGGCGATCGTTGCGATCAAAGCGATCTCCAACCGTCGCATCTTCATCTTGGTCGCGGTGAACAACTTGGCACCGAACCATCGAGCATCATCGAGCCGGTCTGAAGTAGATTGATTTCTCCCCCCCCCCGGCAACGGTCGGGGTGATCATCATCGTCCATCATCATACGGAAGAGCCACCCACTACGGACGAGTGTGGCTCGAACAGGTACCGTTGAGCAGCAACCGTAAGTACGCGAACCATTCTCCTCACACACACAAGAACACCGATTTATAAGTAGGGACCCTGAATTATATTTAGTAGGGGAAGAAAGCTTTTTAGGGGTTAGAACGACTCACAAGGGAACACAAAAGGGGGGGAAGGGAAGAGTGACGTCACACATAGGAGAAAAAGGTAGAGCAGGGTTTTGTGAATAAAACAACAACAACAAAAATTAAAACGAGCAAACCATAAATGGATTTTTGAACCTTTCAAAACCAGGTTTTTTTTTCGTTAAATCGAATTTGACTTTACTGAACTTGATTTTAATAAACCTATTTCACATGCACCGTATTTTAAAATTTACTCAATCAATTAAAAACAATTGGAAGACAAAATAAGAATAATAAAATTGGGGGGGAAAAAGAACGATTGGACTATTGGACTTGGGACGTTGATGGTTTTTGGTCGTTGGGTTACTCTAGTGGGTGGAATCTGCTGGGTTGAGAAAACTGCTAGCTGGGCACACATATCTGCAATTCTCGGCAGACGACTTCTTCGTCTGGCGCATAAGCCGGAATTTTTTGAGAACCCTAGCAGGATCCCCCTTACAGAGCTCCGTGGTTTTCTTGAAAACATTAGGAACTGTGATGATAGAAAGAATTTGGGCTTGTGACATAAACATGAACCTGGATGTCCATGGGGCCGTCCTGCGGAAGATCCGGAACATCCGTAAAAGTGGTAAATCCACGATCCTGATCCTAGAGCTCCGTGGTTTTCTTGAAAACATTAAGAACTGTGATGATAGAAATAATTTAGGCTTGTGACATAAACATGAACCTGGATGTCCATGGGACCGTCCTCCAAAAGATCCGGAACATTCGTGAAAGTGGAAAATTAACGAAACTGATCCTAGAGCTCCGTGGTTTTCTTGAAAACGTTAGGAACTGGGATATTAGAATGATTTTGGGATCGTGACATTAATATGGACCCAGATGGCCATCGGAACGTCCTCCGGAAGATCCGAAAATTCCGTAAAAGTGGTCAATGTATGGAACTGATCCTAGAGCTCCACGGTTTTTTCGAAAACACTTAGAACTGTCATATATAAATTAATTTGCAGTCGTGACATAAACATGTACCCAGAAGGCCATGGGACCGTCCTCCGCAAGATCTAGAACATCTTTAAAAATGGTCAATCCTCGAAACTGAGCCTAGAGTTCTACGTTTTTTTTTCGAAAGCGTGTGGAACTGCGATATAACAAATATTTTGGGGTCATGACATAAACATGGACCCAAATGGCCATTGGGCCATCCTCTGGTAAGTCCAGAACATCCGTAAAAGAGGTTAATCAATGAAACTGATCCTAGAGCTCCGCAGTTTTTTTTTTCAAAAACAATAAGAACTGTGATATAAGAATGAATTTGTGATCGTGACTTAAACATGTACCTAGATAGCCATGGGACCGTCGTCCGGAAGTTCAACAACATCCGTAAAATGGTCACTCCATAAAATTGAGAGGTGGAAGCATTACTATGACGAGCACCTCAACGGTGATGCAGCAGAAAACGAAGGTGGCACGGCAACAGACCTTGGAGCACGTGCAGAAGACGACAGGCTACCGGTCCCTGATCTTCAAGAAGTTGAGGAGGAGATCGGTCGACTGAAGAACAACAAAGCAACTGGTGTAGATCAACAACCAAGTGAGCTATTAAAATACGGTGGTGAAGCACTGGCTAGAGCGCTGCACTGGGTAATTGCCAAGATTTGGGAGGAGGGAATATTACCGGAGGAGTGAACCAGAGTGATCATCCGTAAAAGTGGTTTTTTTTTCGAGAACTCTTGGAACTGCGATCTAAGATAGAATTTAGGGTCGTGACATAAACATGGATCCGGATGGCCATGAGACTGACCTCCAAAAGATCCGGAACATCCATTAATTTATCATACTGTGAAACTGATCTTAGAGCTCTGCAGTTCTTTTTTAAACACTGTGATATAAGAAACCTCTGGATCACTTTTACGGTTGTTCCGTATCTTTCGGAAGACGGTCCTATGTCCATCCAGGTCCGTGTTTTTTTTTTATCTTTATTAAGGAGACTTTCAGCCCTGGGCTGGTTCGTCTCCGGTACGTGTTTATGTCATGACTCCGATTTTTTTCTTATATCGCAGTTCCACATGCTTTCGAAAAAACCGTAGGACTCTAGGATCAGTTTCAAGGATTGACCATTTTTAAAGATGTTCTAGATCTTGCGGAGGATGGTCCCATGGCCTTCTAGGTACATTTTTATGTCACGACCGCAAATTAATTTATATATGACAGTTCCAAGTGATTTCTAAAAAACCGTGGAGCTCTAGGGTTAGTTTGATACAATGACCACTTTTACGGAATTTTCGGATCTTGCGGAGGACGGTCCGATGGCCATCTGGGTCCATGTTTATGTCACGATCCCAAATTCATTCTAATATCGTAGTTCCTAACGTTTTCAAGAAAACCACGTAGCTCTAGGATCAGTTTCGTGAATTTTCCACTTTCACGGGCGTTTCGGATCCTTCGGAAGACGGTCCCATACCCATTAAGGTACATGTTTATGTCAAGACCCCAAATTCATTATATCATTACAGTTCTTAGTGTTTTTTCAAAAACTGCGGAGCTCTAGGATCATTTTCATTGATTGACCACTTTCACGGATGTTCCGGATCTTCCAGAGGATGGTCTCATGGCCATCAAGGTACATGACCCAAATTCATTCTTATATCACAGATCCTAATGTTAAAAAAAAACACGGAGCTCTAGGATCAGTTTCATAGATTGTCCACTTTTACGGATGTTCCGGATCTTCCGGAGGACGGTGCCATGGCCATCCAGATACATGTTTATGTCACGACCCCAAATATTTTTTTGTATCACAGTTCCTAATGTTTTCAAAAAAACCGCAGAGGTCTAGGATCAGGATCGTGGATTGACCATTTCTACGGATTTTCCGAATTTTTAGAGGACCGTTCCGTTGTCTTCAGGATCCATATATAGGAAACATGACTGTATTCTGGCTAATTGTGAACATTTGTGCCCTTTAATCTAAATTACAGATCTTGCGCCACTTGCAAAACCCTACAAACACACCTTTCAAAAAAACGTGTAACAACTCTGTTCGCTTTTTAAAAAAGTAGACAACTCTATTTTCAAGTTTTTTGCAATCAAAATCATCTAGAAACCCTAGGAATTCTAAAGGTACCACAATTTTTGAAATTCATTAAGAAATGGCTAAGTTGTGCTATTGAAAACTTGCCGTTACACGTTTTTCGGAGGCTTCGTAGTCGGCGTAAAGTTTTTTACCCACCGTATTTGGAGTGTTAAATGGTGTTATATTTACATCATCCAGCAGTTATGCGACTTCTACTCCCCAACGAGGATTCGAGCATTTTTATCGCAATTCAAATTTGATAGAATTCTGGTGTGAGAGTGCGGTCGGTTCAAGACGCAATAGTTCCCGTTCAGCTAGCTTGTTGAGCAAAGGTCTGTGAAGTGTGGGACGCTCGAGAATCTGGAAACATTTGAGTAGCAAGTAAAATCGTGAAAGACCTACGACCAGAAAAATCACGCAAATCCTGGTAGGATTCTCAACCACCTTCCAATGCCCATAATTTTCTGTTGTATCTTGAATGACCTTCCTTCACTCCTACCGGGTGGACAGTTTAAAGAGACTTCAATAGCACTGCTGGTGCTTTATTTGCCATGATTCATCCCATTCACTTATCCCGATCCACTAACGTGCTTCGTTGCACATTTTGAATGGGCTGTGTACTCGCGCAAACTCACTTATTATTATTTATGGAAAACCTCTTATAGACACCTGACTTACCACAATGAGCCATACGATGATGGGCGGACAATAAACGACAACAGCAGCAAAACAACCATCACAGCTCAGAGTCAGCGCAGTGCTGCTCGCTGCTCATCAGCGACGGCGGTCTTGGTCTGCTAGCGTCGAAACGATACACATGGATGCGCACCTGGCGTGTCCCATCCCGTCCCGTCTGCTGGATTTGTTTGGTTAAATTTTTACTCTCTCTATGGCAGAGTTGAAGTGGAGCTTTCTTTATCGAAGTGAAAAGATCGGTCCACATTAGAGTCATAAATCTGTACACAAAATCACGGTAATGAACATTCTGTCAATCTGTTTGAGTTCGGTTGCACGCTTGCAGTCATTAAGACCATCGAGGTTGTCTTCCAGTGATATTCATGGTCTGGAGCAGTGCTAATTACTTTCATCTGATACATTTGTCAAGCATATCCACTGCATTCAGTTTACTCGGGTGCATAAAGCAGAAAATTACTACTCGCACATCAAACTATTTCTGATGATAGATTTAATCTATGCCGAGGTGGTTTCCTTTCTTTAAGGTGGTTTAGTTTGTCGTCCATATTTGATTAAATATGTTGTTGAGACGTTCAAAGTTTTATCAGAGTGAACCATTTGCTGTCGTTAGTTGGCGTAGGCAGTGAGATTCCTTTGGATCATTTTTGGTTAAATATTAACCAGGGCTGTAGAGCCGGATCTAAATCAACCGGCTCCTACCAGTGCTGCAAAATTTCGACAGTACACGGTGATATTGACAATTCTGC